CCCCCCCCCTCACCCACGACGACTCGTTGTTCGGAGGCAGACGACTCATCACCACGCACAGAGAATCACGCACAGAGCTCCAGTCTGATGTGGAGCTTCAGTTCCAGGCCTTTGGGTTTGATTTAGTGTCGGTGTGTCGGTGGGGTTTCTGCAGAACAGGGACGGTGGCATCAGTCATGGCAGAAGCGGAGTTACAAACCTTTACCTCGATCATGGACGCGCTGGTTCGCATCAGTGTGAGTATGACGCTCGTTAAATCACCTTGTTCATTTCAATTATAGCGACCGTGTGTGTTTTAAGGGAGATCCAGCGTTTCTCATTCAATATGTGTTAGAGAATTTGGCCATTTTCCTACACGACTGGATGCACGTATAGCGCTCGTGCTGAAGGAATGTGAAGCGTTTCTGCCTTTCGAAGATTTTGGGGCATTTCATCAACCACAGGGAGCGATGGATTCCTCCCAGTCAAAGCTGAGAGTGGAGGTGAGAGAACGTCACGCGACACAGCCCATATCCTCAAGATGTAGTCGTCGCGGCAGGTAAAGAGGTGGATGTGTGCTTCTAATCAATAGAACATGTTATCAGTAGCTGAGAATGCGCACACGATGAGAAGGTAAAGAGATGATGCGCGTTGCCATAGAGACGGGATGCTGCATCACTGGATCAGGGCCTAAAGCAGTGATACGTGTGTAAAACTGAGGCAGAGAAAAACAGACGGCTACATTTATTTTATTCCCTCGATTACCAATTGGGTATCCTGTATTTGTAGTACCTATAATCCTACATAGGACTTTTCCAAATTGAAAGTTGAAACTAGAGGACTCCAGTCATTTTCAGGGAGAGTGGCTAACGCCTGAAGCAGGGGGGAGTTATTTTCTCCTCCTGATGCTCAGTATATCAAACACCAGCCTGTGTATCCAGTGTCTGCATCAGCTCCCTCTTTCGCTTTTGACTCCTACACATTTTTTTCAGGTCACAGGAGGTTGTGGAATCTAAAGAGCGAAATTTTTCTGTACTCATACCAGTGACTCAGCCTTTATCTGGTCCGACTCCTCTCAAAACTCTCTCCTCTCCAGTCTAACATGAAGAGCATGGAGCGGGAGCTGCATTGCCCGGTGTGTGACGAGATGGTGAAGCAGCCCATCCTCTTGCCGTGTCAACACAGTGTGTGTCTGCTGTGTGCGGCTGAGGTGTTAGTGCAAAGGGGATATCCTCCTCCTGAGCTGCCTCCAGAACCCCACTCTCCGGCCTCCACGCCCAACACCCGCTCCCCGCGACAGGCACGCAGACCCACACCAAGGACCCCCGACCGCCTGGAACGGGTCCTCAGAACAGGTAGTGGAAGGATGAAGAGATTATGTGTTCATGTCTCACAATAAGCTTTGCCCTCACATGAGAAAAAAAGGAGTGACATCATGATTTTACAATCCAGAAGATGATGACGTTTGACGTCACTGTCCTCTTAGCATCCCAGTCAAATAGATGATCTAGCTGACGCATCACTACTTTGCTGCAGACCTATACACATTAATCTCGTGACTTATCTATCTGCATGTAGAGCAAGAGCCACAGAGGCAGAGAGCAGCAAGTATCTGTCGAGCAGGTTTCAGAGCGTGTGTGTAAGCAAATAGCTTTTTCTCCTTCCTTTATTTATCCCTGTGGTCTGCGTAGATACGAGGGATAAACAGCAACTCTGCTTTTCACATTTTCTCACAGTTTCCTTCATTAACTGTCTTTCTTCCCACAACAAATCTTCCATTCAGCAAACACACCTTTTTCTCCTCCACATCTCAACCCGTCTCTTTTTCTCCTTCATCTACACCTGTGTCCTCCTCCCAGTGTGTGGGACATACCCAGGGCGAAGGCGGAAAGACGCAGCCCATCCCCCCATGTTGTTCCCATGTCCTTCCTGTCAGCAGGACGTGGAGCTTGGAGAAAAAGGCTTGACAGAATGCCTCCGCAACCTCACTCTGGAGCGTATTGTGGAGAGGTGTGTGTGTATATGTGTGTGTACTGTAGCAGACAGGGTCACAGGTACAGTCTGGTACCATCAGAGTTTTTACTGCTGTCTCGAACATGACTTGTGTTTTTATTTTGATCATTATTAGCTTAGTACCAGAAATCAAGAAAAAAAACATTCCAACAGGCAATGGAGAAATGCAGCATATAAAGCTTGTAGTCAATACTGCTTAATAAATGAGACAGGAAATCATTTGCTGGAAGGAGTTGCTATAGTGAATCTTTCCTTTACCCCAGATTCAAGGCTAAACCGAAGAGCAGATTGCAGGGACATCTAAAATAACTGCAGTGTTATTTTATATTTAACGTAGAGTAAAATACTGCATATCCCTTTTAATTGTTCATCATTCTCTCATCAGTTCATATATTAAAGTGAGAGGAAAAATGATCTGAGATTGGAGGAGGCTGTTTCATAGAGTCACGTGCAGCAGTTTCATGAGGTAGTCGTTCTTTTGGAAAGTGTGACGCTGCAGGTTTTACTGCTCAGAATGTACAAACAAAACAGCTGCTGGTGCTGTATCTAGGACAGGCGGTAAAAGAGTTTGACTCCTAACTTGTGAAAAAAGAACAGGGACAAGCATCTTCTCTTTCTCAAGTTTGAAGGTCTTCTTTTTTCTTGCTTTCTGTTTTTGCTGCTGCAGAACTGCCTTAGCCCTGCTCTTATCTCCGTGTCTCCCTATCTGCCCTCCAGGTACAGGCACACGATAAGTCTGGGCAGTGTGGCCATCATGTGTGGTTTCTGTAAACCCCCCCAGTCTTTGGAGGCCACTAAAGGATGCGCCGACTGTAAGTCCAACTTCTGCAATGAGTGTTTCAAACTGTACCATCCCTGGGGAACTCCCCGAGCTCAGCACGAACACATCCTACCCACCAACAACTTCAGGCCAAAGGTTTGTCTGTTTTTGTGTTTTGTACACAACACACAGAAGCTTTCCTTCTATTGTCTTTGTCCCTTATCCTGATTTGTGCTCCAGGTCCTAACATGCACAGAGCACGAGCAGGAGAGACTGCTGTGGTACTGCCGCAACTGCCAGAGGCTGCTGTGTCCACTCTGCAAGCTCAGACGTGTCCACCATGGACATAAAGTGTTGCCTACAGCACAGGCCTACCAGGCCCTCAAGGTGAGTGTGTGCAGTCTGTTTGAGCTGTGTCAGGACTATAGTCAGGATCCAGTTTTGAAATGTTTACTATTGTTTCGGTCCTGTAGGACAAGGTCACCAAGGAAGTCAACTTCATCCTGGCAAATCAGGAGACGATACAGAGTCAGATCACTCAGCTGGAAGCAACCATCAAACAGATGGAGGTGAACCACACTTTCTCTGCTTTGTGAAAGTAAATGTTTCCTCATTGTCTTTGGACAAATGCAGTAGAATTTGTTTTGCACTATACTGTGGTCTACACAATGAATCCTTTTTATTTGTCCCCTATATAACAGGTTGAACGCAGTGTGTTGAAAAAGGCAAAAAGAGCAAAGGTTTTGACACTGATCAACAATTATCCTATTTAGTGGAATATATTGTTATTGTGTTTTAATCTATTTAATCATTTTACTGTGTCAACCACTGCAACTAAGGGGACAGGTAGTGTTAGTGCGCCCTCTAGAGTCCCAGGGCTTTAGTGCAATGGCCCACTGTGCTGGCAATAGCTAAATCATTGTCTCTGTTTTGTCATTCCTTATCAGTCACTGTGCTTTATCATATCCATCCAACTCACATGGGTCCTTGCCTGTCTGTCTGTCTGTCTGTCGTCTGTCTGTCGTCTGTCTGTCTGTCTGTTGTCTGTCTGTCGTCTGTCTGTCTGTCTGCAGGCTAACAGCACAGTAGCCCTGCAGCAACTGATCCACAGTTTCAGGGATCTGGGAGCGGCCGTAGCTGAGCGTCAGGGATCTTTGGCTCTGGCCCTGGAGGGATCTCGCAGCAGGAGGGAGGAGGCCCTGTCTGCTCAGGTCTCAGAGAAGAGTGGACTGATGGAACACGCTGGCCTAATGGCATACACACAGGAGCTGCTCAAGGAGACTGACGCTCCCTGCTTTGTACAGGCTGCCAGAGTCACTCACAACAGGTATTGCACCTGCAGCAAACACTTCAGCTTTTAGACCGTTTTGTTTCTTTTTTTCCTCTTCTTCATCTGTCCCTGTGTCTCTCCCTGTTCCAGGCTGGTGAAGGCCATCGAAAACCTGCAGTGTTTCACTTTCGCTGCAGATTCCTCCTTCAGACATTTTCACCTGGATGCATCCAAAGAGGTCAAACTCATCAACAGCTTGGAATTCATACGTGGTGCGCTAAGTTCTTTGTTCCCGTGATATAAATTCTTCAAAAAGTTAAATCGCACTTTCTTTATAAACCAATGAATGAAATTTCTCCATTGCTTTCACTCATCCGCAGCTCCACTGGCTCCAGTCATCGACACTCAGAAGACATTGGCTTACGACCAGCTGTTCTTGTGCTGGCGCCTCCCTCAGGACTCGGCCCCAGCTTGGCACTTCTCTGTTGAATACCAGCGACGAGCGGGAGGAGCCGCAGCCACGTGGGGAGGAACCAGATCCCCCAACGCTTCAACGGCATGGCAGCGCCTGGATGAAGTGAGAGGGACCAGTGCTGTGGTCGAACGGCTTCAGATTGACAGCATGTATGTGCTCAGGGTGAGAGGATGCAACAAGGCCGGGTTTGGAGAGTACAGTGAAGAGGTGTACCTCCACACACCACCCGCAGCTGGTGAGATAGGAAGACTATTACTTTATTATAGCATCAGGGTTTTATTTTTCTATACTTTTCATACACTACAAAAAAACTCATTCATCTTTCCACTTTGTAAATACTGTAGATACAAGAAGAAGTAGTATGCGTCAAGATTTCTTTTTTAACTTTCACATTTTCCAGCATTGCCATTGATTGATGACTAATCTTGATCATTCTTTTCTCTCCATCCCTTGATTTTCTCCATTCCCGCTTTATTAAATTTTTTTATTTTAGCTCCAAACCCTCTTTTTTGTGTTTGGCATTCCAGTTTCATCCTGGTGCGACTCTTTCTACTTCTGTCTTTCTTGCTGCAGGTCTGTTTCATTACATTTTAAACTTTTCTTTGATTTATACTGTTTATCCATTGTTCGATCTTGTTGGTATTACATATGTTAAAAAATCTGTCTCTCATATTACTTCCTATTTCGCTCTTTAAAAGATCTTTCTCTCTTGATCTGCCTCTTACTCTTCTTCACCTCTTTTCCCATGATGTGTTCAGGCTTGTTGTAGTTTTAAATCTGTCCCAGCTACAGGCTCTAAATCCTTCCTCCCTTCTTGACTCCTTTCCTTTTTACTTACCTCACCATCTCTTTCCCTCCTCACCCCCCCTTTTATCACCTCCTCCCAGTGCTGAGTTTCTCCTTGGACTCTCGCTGGGGTTTGCATGCTGACAGGCTGGCTCTGGGTAGAGGCCAAACCTATGCCCGCAGTGTGCCAGGCCTCTCCCTCCTGCAGGTCGCTGACCGCACGCTCACTTCTTGCCACCTGACATCTGACCTGCTGGTGGCTGACCTGGCCGTCACTCAGGGCCGACACTACTGGGCGTGCTCTGTGGAGCCTAGTTCCTACCTGGTAAAGGTGAGAGGAAATCTTGTCTGTCAGTTGTTTGGGTTTTATATTGGCCTCAGCTTTACCTTACATACCTACTTAAAGTGGATCTTTCTGTCTCCTTCTCTTGCAGGTGGGAGTAGGCCAGGAGACAAAGCTACAGGAGTGGTTCCACCTCCCTCAGGACATGGCCAGCCCTCGGTAACTAAATCTCTCTTTCCTAAATATACAATAGACCCTGTTTCTCATGCCCTGAAAAAGACCAGCAGATATGAATGGGATTTATTGGGATGTCATATTTCTTGGTTGCACTCATGCTGAAGCCAGTTCATTCACTCACATGCCATCTATAGAGGGGATTACCAGAACCTTCACTTAGCGTTTACATTTACATCAGGATTATTGGATTTTTAATTGATGTTTTGGCCACTTGGGGGCAGTGGAACAACTTGTAAACACAAGACTGTAAATGAGAGTGGAGACGCAGAAACAAACTGTGAAGCTAAAATTTGTAAAACTAAAACAAGGGGAATTAAGCCTTGATATCATCAGAATAACTTTCTGTCCAGTTCAGCTTTTTATTGCAATGCTAAAACATTTCTTATCACAATCTTTTTACAAATGCTTATTTTTCACTGATCATGTTTTTACACAATGCAAAATCCCATATTAAATTAAAAATATGGAATCTTACATTAGGTATTAAGAGCACTGTTAATAGATTTGTTTTTAAGTGGGTATACAGTCAGACACTTTTCTCATAAGAAAGAAGGATTGCAAGTGGAGTATTTCACACCCTCATGTCAATCATGATTGATGGTTGTAGATATATAATGAACATATTCACCCGTCACTCAGCTTTTCTCTTGTTCAGCCTGATTTCCTTCTCCCCTCTTCCTCCCTCAGCTGTGACCCAGACAGTGGCCATGACAGTGGAGCAGAAGACGGCCAGGACTCCCCTCCCTTCTGCTTCCTCACCATAGGCATGGGCAAGATCCTGCTCCCACAAGGACACGGTCACAGTCAGAGCCAGGCGGAGAGCCAGAGCCATGGAGGAGTGCACTCCCACAGCAGCAGCCACAGCAACCTGCCTCACCCTCACACGACTCCTCTGCCGCCCCGACTGGGAGTGTGTCTGGACTGCGATAAAGGAAGGGTCACCTTCTACGACGCCCACTCGTTACGGATCCTGTGGGAGGGACACGTGGATTGCTCAGCTCCGGTGTGTCCGGCCTTCTGCTTCATCGGCGGGGGAGCCCTGCAGCTTCAGGACCTCGTGGCCAATCGGAGCATCGAGGAGCCGCCGCCACGGAGGGTAACCATCCAGACACGGGCAACAAATCTGAGCAAATAAAGAAGGAGGCAGTTTATGGACACAGTTCACTCAGAGATGACTCATCATGTTGTTGGAGGAGAAGGTGTGTGAGTTCATAACCAACAGCCTTTGATACTTGATTGAACTGTCAATGAGAGGGAGATCTCACTAAATATCTGGTATTGTTTTGCATTTGCATCTGAAAAATATCAAATCTCTCTTTCTTGCTTGATAATATTTTTTTTCCTTGGACATTGTGGCTGAAGTGATTTCCGACTATGCAGAATTCTGTTGACAGTGTGAGTCAAGCACCTTTATAACAGATTAGAACAATGACTTGCATTGTAAGAAAATCTGCCGTCCATTAACATTTTTTTTTCCCAGACATCAAAAATTGCATGCAAGTGTAACTTGTATACGTAAATGACAGAAATGCAGGAAACTGTCATCTTGTAAAAGCACCTCAGATGAACTGTATGTCTAATTTTCTATCTTAATTCTTATGTAGCCTCAACAACAATGTGTAAATAATGCAGAGTTACAGAATGTGAATATGTTTTGGTTGGTGAACTTCTGCTGGCTCATGTCAGGAAATGGACTTTTTAATAGTCACAGTTTTGCATTTCAGAAGGATGTGTGTGACATTCCGGCTGAGTAAACATACTCACGGTTGCCTCTGCATTTTCAGATTTACAACAGAGATCAGAATTAAAAA